ACTGCTGTGGCACAGTAACCCGTGACAACGTTTTTCAAAAAATTTGGGCCCTTAAATGTAATAATTTTATATTAGGCCCTTGTTTGTAATTATTTTCATTTTTTGGGCCCTTATTTGTAAATTCCCCTAATTTTTAATACAAATACAATACTTTTGAGGCTTGTAGATGTGTTGTTAATATGTATACGTGAAGAAGACATAAAAACAGAATATTCTCTTTTTCATACCTCAGTCCCCAGAGTCACTTTATTTTCAACTGCAGAAACTATACTATCATACATTTGTCAATTATTAAAAAAGTATTTAACAGAAGAGGCACAAAAAATTCAAGAAGATCAAATAATTCAAGCCCTTCATTATCATGTGAGCTGTGTTAGTAAAAATAAATTGAATGTTTATAAATCAGTAAGTAATATATGATACTATAAAATTCACGAAATAATGGACATGGATGTTATTATGCTTATTTACAATTAATTAAATAAAAATGGCTAATGTTTTGTTATATGCATAGGTTAATCTTAATGATTCTAACCTGTTCAATAATGAAAACCTTACTACTATTATTGCAAAGGCTTCTCTTGACCTTGTTGATACCAGTAATATTGTAGAAATGTGGTCCATGCAACATATTACAGAAAAAATACACGGCACTTTGTTATTCTTTTGAATAATAGGCTTCATTTGTGCACATGTTTTGGTCACTATAACCATGGATTTCTTTGCTGATATTTTTTCCAAGTTATGTTGTATACGGATATGACAGCATTTCATATTCAAATGATACATTCTCACTAGTATAAAGAGACACATAGTGATCAGTCATGTGAATCTTTTATAGTCACCCCAAAATTTAAGAAAGATATTAATTCAAGTAATCAGTTCAGTATGAATATAAGTTATTTTAATATGCTAAATAAAGATCATTCGGATATGGTACAAGATATTAAAGAAGGATTTATTGAAGAGCATCAGTTATATGGTAAAACGTGGGGAAAGGCATAAGCAGCTACACTTTTGGCAATTAAAATCGTGACAACAAACTTATTGAAATTTTAGATAAATATTTAAAAGAGCAACAAGTAGAAAAGTCTGATGTGGATAATGATAAAGAAAGTTGTAACGAATCTGATAAAGAAAATTTTAGTGCCAAAGATTTAGTAAATTCTCATAAATGCAAAGAAAAGAGAAGGCCAAAAGGAACAGATAGAAAATGACGCACATATGAACTACCAAAAAAAAGCAAAAAACCGAAATTCCGATGTGGCATTTGTAATGGCTTAGGTCATAATCGAAGAAGTTGTGAAGAAAAACAATAAAATATTATAATAAGCTGAAAACATTATTTTGTTCAATAATTAGGCTTTGTTCACTCATTTTATATGTACTAGTCTGATTTAGTTCTAGAAGTTGTAAATGTTATATTTTTTGCATCAATTATGTTGCTAAATTACACTTGAGGTCTTATTATACTGAACACTGTATGATCCAAAACTTCAATCAGAATAAAGATAGTTAATTCATTAAAGACAAACTAAATTTATCACCTTAATAGCAAGTTTTCAATGGCATATAGCATTAAGTTTGATTGTTATTAGAGTATTATTTATATGTGAGTTGAGTATTCTAGATTTCTGAACTTTATTGAGATCGATAACTTTAGGCATTATATTTATATTGTATAGAAGTTAAGTTAGTAAAGTATTACTGTACGGCATTACAGATTGCGAAAATTAAGTTTTTATAATATGTATAGGTTGTATTCAATTTTTATAAGTATCCTCTCTTTTTTATAGTTAGGATTAGAGAAAGCATTAATCATATCCTCTTTTCATGTTAGGGTTTAGGGTGCTTTAGTTTATACATACGTACTGTATGCATATCTGTGCTAATTTGTATCACATGAGATTGAGATTTTTAGGTTTAAGTTATCGTTATGTACATATGTATATACATTAAGATATCATGATTATGATATTATTAGCATCAGCTAATTTAGTTGCACGAAATCAAATTTTTGTACGTACATACCAGATATATATGAAAAACATACAAGATATGTATAAAAATAGGGACGTCTAAAGCAAGGTAGATTCTTATATATTTTATCAAATTAGCTTTAGAGTTATGATCATTGTAGAGTAAGGTTAGAGAGGGTTTTAGGTAGTTATATATAAGCAAAATTGCCTTCTTGTCATTTTTATTTAATCCATCCAAAGTAAGGTTAGAATGCTATTTTTTGTATTTTGCTTTTTTTGCTTCGTTGATGATCATCAAAATTTTATAATTTGATTGGTCGTATGTCACATGATAATGCATCTCTTTGTTTTCATTAAAGTTACTCAAATATATTAATAATGTTGTGCTATGTTGCATCATATTGATTTAATAAATATATGTGTTACATAATTATACATTATTTATTTATTATAAAGATAGTGCCATGGCACTATAGTGCTATAAAAATATTTTCATATTAAATTATATAATCTTATTTAATAAATAAAATTTATAAAAAAATAAATTATTTATAAAAATAATTATAATTTAAAATATATATATATTTATTTATTTTTATTTTAATTTTTAAATTTTATATTTAAAATTAAATTTAAGTTAAATTTTTATTATTATACAAACTTATAAGCCATACTAAGCCTATAACAAGCTTAGAAATATGACAAATAAGCCTATTTGAGCTGGCTCATTTAGGAACACTATATTGAACTATTAAACGAATATACAACTGATTATATGTGTAATTTTTTTATATTACCTATTTATAAAATCTGCTCTAAGGTTTCTTATCAGTTGTCATATCTAATACTTCTGCTTAGATGTTTTATTTAAATCCTTTGATCTGATTCTAGTATTAATTTTACCAGATTACAGACTCAGATTTATTCACTTTTAACTATAGAACTATAATTTTTAGACTATTTTTATCTTTGAAGTAAATCTACCAAAGCAAGCTATATTCCTTTTTACTACTAACCTGGTTTGATGCTATGGCTAAAACCAATACTTGCAGTCAGAGTTATCTTTTAAACCACAATTACTCTTGTAAAGTTCATCCAAACTCTAATACTTATCTTTTCGACTTCTTTTTTATCATTCTTTACTAGCTGCAACTCGAAACTAACAGATTTTCCAGACTTTCAATTCAAATAGCCTGATATGATATACTTATATATCCTTTTTCTTTAGTGATTCAGTAGTCTGGTTGGTTATATGCTTCTCTATACATCTTGTTATCTAGTTTATCTAACAGTTTCTATGAAGGTGTTTTATGATCTTTCATTGGTCTAATGGCACTATTGAAAGTTTGTACTACCTCTTTACTCAAGATTTTTAAGTGAGTTTTTGTCTTCTTAGTTTCTTAGTCTTTTATGCTTAATGATCTTATTATGAATTTGTACTAAAGTCTTATATGACACTGGTTTTTCATATTTCTTTATGTATGTATAATATTACATTTCACATAGATACTCTGAGCTCCCAATGTTAGATAGGACCTGAATTGGTATACCTAAGATTACAAATGCCCAAAACCCAACTGATTAACAAGAAACAGTTACCATAACACAGATATAATTTTCAAAATTCATTATCTATAGGAATTGAATCTTAGATCTGCTATTTGAGGATTAACAACCTATCTACTTCACTAAGTTACCACACCTAATTACTAGTGTCTTAATACAAAGATGAAGTTTTAAGCTTTAGTATTATTTTAAGCTAACTACTAAATTTTTCTTTTATTTTTCTCTGTTTTCATATTTAATATATTGACTAAATAACTTTTGAGAACTTACTTGGTAAACTAAATTAAACTGCTTAAGATATTTTATGATTAATTGCAAATTTTTAGTTTAGGATATATTTATATTGATTTCACAAGACAATACTTTGAGTTATGCTTTATACTGCTTTAAAAGTTTTATTCAGTTAAAAGTTTATACAAGCTGCTAATATTTATAGTTTTGAAGTCATTATAACAAATATATTAGCTAAATAAAGAACTTTTAATAGATATCAATTTGGTATTGATCTTGTAAATAGAATTATATCTGAAACTTCTAATTACTTACTAAATTAAAAAAGCAATGCATAAATTTAGATTCTGATACTTATTATGTTTAGAAGATTAGATATTTTTAGCATTTTTAAATTTTTTGTCTAAATCAAAATTACATATAAGGTTGGTCAGTTTGGTTTGGTCTATATTAGTCTCCAATAAGCCAGTTCTGTAGTAATTATCAGTTCTATTTAGTCAGTTTTTTTAACTATTTTCATAAATTCTAAAAAATCTAAAAAAAATTAACTAACTGAATATTTGCTAATTCGATAAGTTTTGATAAACTTTTTATTCAGATGTAATCATATCCAAATCAATAGTTTATTAAAACCTATCAAATTGGCAAATATTCAGTTAATTTTTTTTAGCTTTTTTAAAATTTATAAAAATAGTTGTAAAATTATTTGTTTTTATATAAGCAAATTTCACTCTTTATAAAATTGACTATTTGTAATAAAGATGAGTATGTTGTTGATGCAAATCTTAGTTAGGATTAGTGATAGGTTAGTTACTATTTTAGAATTAATAATATAACTACTTTCATAGGTTCTACTTTGTTATATAATTTATATAATTATTACACTAATTAAAGTTATCTCAAAGTATATTTATAAACTAGTATAAACTGATTAAAGATTAGTTATATTAATTATTTTGCATAGTATAATATTCTTTTAAAGCTAGAATAGTTTTTTATAATAATGTTACTCAGATTAGATTATTATATAATATTAATTAAACTGAGTATTAGGATTAATTGTACTAATATTGTGTCATTTTAAGTTTAATAAATTTTTTTATTATAAAATTTTTTACTAGATATTTGAGTTATATTTTTAAAATAAAAATTTTTAATTAGATAAATTTTTTAATTAGTAAAAAAAAATCTGGGTTAGCAGGTCAATTTGCAAAATTAGATGTTATAAAAACCAGAAAATCAACTTTGATTGGCCTAATAATAAAATATTTTTAAAATATTAGAGGAAGTTAAAATAAAATGAAAAATTTTTGCAATTAGATTTTAAAAAAGAAACATCAAGCTCTAAAGAAAATGAAGCTTTAGAAAATTCTAAAAAAGCATAATAAGAGATCCGCATACACTCTTTTCTGAATATACAAGTTTTGGAGTAAAGTAACTCTTTTTGTTAAAAATAAAAATAAACAACAAAACAAAACCAGCTAAAGTAATTACTAAAACAAGGGCTCTTGCCCTTGTTCCAAGAAAAAGATCCTTTACAGAATTTTAATATACAAAAAGTATAAAAACAACAAAAAAAATAGCATCAGCAAATAGCAAAAAAAAAAAACAGAAAAACAAAGAAAACATATCAAGTTTTTCAAGTTTGATAACTGGTAAAAGAGAGGCTACTAATTATAAGCAAAAAAAAAAGCAAGCACTAAAAGAAACATTTAGTAAAAATTCAACAAGTTGGAACAAACAAGTAGAACTGGAAATAAAAAAAATAAAAGCTATTCAAGACCAAAAAATAAACAAAACTAACATGTTTGAAGATACTATAAATGTAACAACAAACAATACAACTAAAGAACAGGTAATATTAAACAATATAGAAGAAATTGAAGATATAATAGAACAAAAGCTAGATGTAACAGAAAATGCACAAAGTGATAGTTGCCCAATAAGGCATATAAAACTAACTCTTATACTAACTTACAAGAAGATAGCAACAAACAAAAAGGCTCAAAGAAAACACTAACAAAACAATAGTTTAGTCTTTTTTTAAAACTAAGAAAAGGACAGTTCACCTACTCCTTTTTCATGCCCAGAAGCTAAATTAGATCAAAAAATGAAAATACCCTAATGATTGATGTCCAAGACATGCACAGCTCCTTTAAAGAAATCATGATCTTATTATTCAAAAACCTTAAAGAAAATATTATAGCTGCAAAACAACACATCAAAAAGAAACATGTACATATGTAGAAATTGTATTTAAAAACAAAAAAAAATTAAAACACCACATGCTTAAGAGAATTAATATTTTTGGCAGAACCTATTTTGATTTTATTCCTACAAACTCAAAAAAATTTTTTCATCTAGTCAAGATTAAAAATATTTTATTATAGAACAAAAAAGCAATTTCAGATGCTATAAAGAAAGCCTTTGAGTTTGTTAGTAGAATCATCTCAATTAAGCCTTTATTGATTGAAGGAATACTATATCTTATGAACCAATGGATTATAATTTTTAAAAACTTAGATGACTTTAACTTAGAAGACAAAATTTCTTATTTTATATATATATAAGACAATAAAGTTACAACAGAATAAAAATCAGCATCCAAAATGTACTACTTTTGCAAAAAAAAAGCTATGTCAAAAAAGAATGTTAATAATTTCAAGATTCAATAAACTTACAAATTAGTTATCAAAAATACAAAGAGAATAAACATAACAGTAAACTCTCAGATGACTTTCAAGAGTCAAATAAGATTCTAGAAAATACTGAACAAAACAATAAAAAATCTTCATTACTAGAAAATCCAAAGCAACTAGAATTAGATAATACAAAAGATAATATACATATGACCTTAGAAGAGACTGATCCTAACCAACAACAGAACCTTTAGCCTCTAATTCTAATAAAACCAGCTACAATCAACATCAACTTAGATGAACAAATGCAAATAACAATTTAAAAAGATCTCTTACTAGGTATAGAAATGCTGCCAAGAGACAAACTTGCTATTTATAACTATAAAACACCATATTCATCTGCAAGCTACATTCCCAAGGCAGCATCCTCTTCTAACAAAAATGAAGAAACAGATGGCTTTATTACAGTTACTAACAGAAAAACCAAAAAAAGAAAACAGAACATCTAAAAAGAATGAAACAAGATCATCTTCTTATAAGAAAACTTATAAAAAAAAAGGTTACTCCTAATTCAAGAAATCTAACAACCTCTTATAATTATGTTTTAAAAAGCCAAATTAAAAATAGCAACACTAAATGTAAAAGAATTCAACAATAAAAGCAAACAACAAAATTTACTAACTTTTCTAAAATTATACAAATTAAATATAATAAGGCTTTAAGAAACTAATCTTAATAATAAAAAAACACAAGAATTTCTTAAACAACAATGAATCTACAATTCAATCTGAACTAAAAAAACAACAATTCTAGCAGAAAGCAAGAATATTGAATTCAAATACATTCAGATAAGTCATGAAAGAAGAATAATAACAACAAACTTTGTAGTTAAAAGATATTCCTTCAAAATAACAAACATCTATGCATCACTAAACATTAGTGACAGAATAATTGTTTTTAATAACTGAAAACCTCAAAGTAAAAAAAATAGTATAAACATTATAGCAGGTGACTTTAATGTTAATCTTAATTCTAAAGATAACAGGATTAGTCAAACAACAGTTCAATATAACTCAATTAGAACTCAGCTTCCTAACTTAACAAAAGAATTTATTTACATAGCAAAAATGTTAAGCACCAAGCTCTTTCTAACTTTTTTTCAAAAAATACAGAATAATCATTTAATAGCTACATGTTTAGACTACATGTTTATAGATAAGAATTATAATTATCTCATATCAGAAGTTAGTATATATTTTAGTAACTCAAATTATCTTCTAGTAAGATGTATACTTGAATTTAAACAAGGTTTTAAACAGCCTTTAGCCTAAAGGTTCAATAAAGAATTCTTTAAAAATAAATTACTAAAGAAGAAGGTTCTAAAAGAAATTCAGGATGCTAACTAAGCAGAAAACTGAGATCTATATAAAATATATATTTAATCAATTATTAAAGCCTTTTGAAAACTCAAAGCTCTTGAAAACAAAATAGCAATACTAAACAAAGATATTACAAAGTTAAGTAAAGAGCTTGCAGCAGACTTCTTAAAAGAACACCTTAATGAAAATATAGAAGAACTTAACCTTCAAATACAAAAGGAACTATTTAAGATAGCTGAGTCATAGCTAATTTGATCAAAGACACAATAGATTGAAAATAGAGAAAAGTTAACAAAATACTTTTTCTCAAAATACAAAGCAAGAAAATCACAAAATGCTTAGTCTAAAATTGAAATATCTAAAACTTTAAACTCAGAAAATGAAGATATACTTATATATATATATATAATTTTTTTACTTTTGCTAAGACTGTTAGTTATTGATAGCTACTACCTTTATTGTAAATTCAATTATGATTACATAACTTGTACAAGATTACCTTTATATTATACTAGCAGATAGTGCACAAGCTTTTGTACATCTAATTAGATGCTGTCTAACCTAATATTAACTTTTTTGTCTGTACATCTATTAAGCTATTACATATTTCAAAGTACATCATCTGACTATAGGACTTCAGAAGACTTTTCTGCTAACTAACTACCTATATTTAATCTTTGCTAACAGGGCTTGCTCTTGTAAAGTTTATTCAGACCTTAGTACTAACTTCATAGCATATTTCTAGTACTTAGCTATACTCTGCTTTAGACCTTAGACTTCTAATTCAGATAGCCTGAAAGGACTATGTTCTGTTTCTGGTACCTCAAGAGTCTGCCTTCCAAGATTTTTTTTTTTGGTTCGAGACTTCTGGTAGCCTGGTTGGTGGTATCTTTCATCTGAGGTTCTTGTCTACCTAATGTCTTCTACATCAGTATTTATTTTCTAGGTTTAGCTTTTACAATAGTACTGTCAAAAATCTGTGCTATCTCTTTACTTGGGTTTTTCCAAATAGGCTTCAGTTTTCTAGTTTACAAATTTATACAACCATAAGAACTTATCTTGAGTTTGTACTGCCCAATACTGGTTTGCATTACTCTGTATAACTTTAACATTGTGCAGATGCTTCATAACCTGCTAGTCATGCTAGTATGATCATATTACAGGTATCTGATTTCAACTGATCGATGAAGTGCTGTTGCCATAATACTGCTTACCTTCTGTAATACTAATATAACATGGATGGTTTTTCAAATTTTTGCTGTTAGTAGGTTTTGAACTTTTAATCTACTACTTGAAAGGTTGACAACTTATCCACTTTACTAAGTTGCCACATCTCTTCTACACTTACATATATTAAAAACCAATATACAAAAATCCACAAGAAAGAAAATATAGACCTCAAGATAGCAGAAAAGATTACTAAAAATTTTTTTTAAGTGTTACAAGACCAAAATAACAATTTAATAAAAAGAATTTTACAGAAAGAAATAACTCAAGCAATACAAGGCCTTCTTAATAATAAGTCATCTGGCATTGATAGGCTAACTTATAAATTCTACAAGCTTATATTATTAAAAATAGCCTTAGTTCTAGAAAAGATGTTTAATCAAGTATTAGATATTGGCTATTTATTTAATTCATGATGCAGAAATATAATTATATTAATTTCTAAAAAATCAGAAAACTTAAAAGATCTAAACAATTGGTACCCAATTTTATTAGTAAATTGTGATGCCAAAATCTTTATAAAAATTATAGTGAAAAGGCTTAATATAATTTGCATGAAAATTATCTTTAACTATTAACAAGAATTTGTTTCTAAAAGATCAATAACAGACACAGCTATGGATATAATTACTATATTAAAAAACTAACCAAATAATTCTAAGCAGTACTAGATACTTTTGGTAGATCAGCAAAAGGCATTCAATAGAGTAAATCATAACTTTCTGAATTTGGTTTTAAAAAAAATAAACTTTGATAAAAAAATGACCAACTTGGTAGCCAACCTTTTTTTGAACTAAATAGTATATATTATAGAAGGCAATGTTCTGTCTAAACCCTTCAGAGTAGAAAGAGGAGTACAACAAAGAAACCCACTTTTTCTCTTACTATATGTGCTTGCTTTTAAACCATTACTTATACAACTAGAAAGAAACATTTAAGAAATTTTTTTAAAAAACTAATTCTTTAAACTGTTAGCCTATGCAGATGATTTAACATTAGGAATAAGCTCATTATCAGATTGAACAAGCATTATGCAGCTTTTTGAAATCTATAAAGCTGCTTTTAATACAAAGATTAACAAAAACAAAACCAAATTAGTGCTTCTAACAAGTACAGTCCACAGGATTAAGCTTGAAGATGAATCTTAATTTACTAAAACTACAGAACATAAAATACTAACAATTCTTAGTTATAAAGTGAACACAAAAGGCATTTCAAAAAAAGACTTATGGATAACAACAATCATCAGAATAAAAAAAACACTAGAGAAATCATCTAACCAAAACCTTTCTTTTAGAAAAAAATTAGCCAAGGCACTCATACTCTCATAAATATGATATGCAGCATACTTGACTTCATCAAATAAAAAACAGATTGTAGAAATTAATAAACTTATGATATTCTGAATTAAAAACAAGTCCAGAATGCTATCTAGATACTCTATATTTTAACAATTACTTGAACAAAATGGCCTTTAAGTTTCAATAGTAGGAGATATACTAGATGCTAAACTAATCTCAGTATAAAAAAAACTTTTTACTAGCAACTTTACATGGGCTAAATATAAAAAAGAAAAATTGCAGAAATCCTACTCAAAAAGAGGAACACATCAATAAATCAAGTACTAAAAACAAATATAATTAGATTAAAAGTCTAGTTAAAAGAATAGAAACTATATCTCTTGATCTGGAAAAAGGCCAAAGACAAAGTTATTGCAACAATAAACTGGCCCTAAGAGCTTAAAGATATTGAAATAGAAAAACTTAACAATGAAGAACTCTCAGTCAAGAAAACTATTAAGATTCTAAGAAAAAAACTGGCATATGAATCATTTAATCCCAGCCAACAACCCAATTAGATGCTTGTTAGAAAAATAGCTAACAAAAAAAAAACATTTTATGACATCTTTTTTATAAAGCTTTACCAAACTACAGTATATAAACTCTTCTATTACAGGAAGTTGCCTCTGGTGTAACAATGAGCTACAAACAGCTAAGTATTTTATACTCAAATGCAAAGTTAGCAAAAAAATTTGAAAACAGATCTACAGTCTCCTAAAAACTAACTAAACTGTAACTTCTCTAACCTCTATAGAAGAAATTTTTATAGTAATAAACACTATAAATAATGAAAGTAAGCAAACTATTCTTTGGTTATACACAAACATAATTTATAAAATCTGGTACATCTACACCTCTTTCAAATAGAGAGACAGCATTCTCTCAAGCAGAATCCTATCCTCAATAGTAATCAAACATCTTTATAAAAATATACACACTCTGTATTATAGTTTGAAAACCTGTCTGTATTATAGTTTGAAAAACTGTTTTCAAAAAACAAAAAATATATATAAATGTATACAATGTTCTTAATAATTTGTTTTTAATAAAAGAATACCACACATGCCCTAGGTGCTAATATCAGGAATAAAAAAAAAATAAAATAAAATAAAAAACATAATTTTAATTTTATAATATTAGTAATTATTTTAATATATTTTAAAAATTTTAAAAATATGCACATTATTTTAAATTATTTTAAATATTTGCAAAATTTCTATAATATAAAAAATTTGATTTTATAAATAGCAAAATTTGTTCTAATTCTTAAATATATATGCATTTTTGTAAGTTTTTTAATCTATTTTA